ACAGAAAAAGTTCCAGAAGTGGTTGCTGATAAGTATGCCCCTTCATCCAGCTAAGGTCTGTAGTCACCCTGGGAGTCTGTCCTTTGGATGTCATTTGTTGAGATTTTCTAAAACCACTTTGTTGTACCCCCTACTGTATTTTAAATTACATTTGTTGTGGTTTGTAATGATGTTTGGGGGAGGGGGGGTTAACTTTTTATTTAATGCTGGCCTCCAGTCATTTTTGTTCTTCACTGGATTTCCAGGGCTTAGTTTGAATTAATGGAACCCAAATGAATACACTCGAATGATATAATAATGTTGCCTGCTACCTCTGTGGCTTTTTACAAATACCCCACTCCCCCACGCCATCCTAGTCTTTTTCTTAGCTTAATCGGATAATGAATATTTGTCAAATCAATTATTACCCCCCAAAAAAATTTAACTCTATTTTTAATCCTAATGATTTTCTGAGGTAAATATCATGAATATTGTGAACCCCCTTATATTATTGGTTTACTTTTATTGTTTTTTTTACAAGCTGGTAAAGTATTCAGTGGGGCAAAACAGTTTGTTTCGGGTCACAGAGCTAGTGAGCATGCATGCTGGTATTTAAACCCAGGACTGTCAGACTCCAGAGTTAGCAGAATTAAGGGCATGCTGCCTCTTCAAGTTGAACAGTCCTTTTGGAAAGCAGTTTAGTACCGTGATGCAAAGTATCTGAAGTCATTCCGACCATTTGATTCAATAATTCTACTCCTGGAAATCTATCTTGACAGAGAGAAAAATAGAAAGTCAAAAAGAAAAAATAAATAACTACAAAGATGTTCATGACAGCAATTACAGAAGAAGAAAAAAGAAATGCAACATTTCCATTTATTTAAATAAATACTAAACATTTATACTTAGATGTTTAACTAAAATTCCAATCATAAATGGATTAAAAAATTGCAATCATATATGTGCTCAATGAATAACACATTGGAATATAATGGAACTAAGGAAAAGACATTAGGAAAATGGTTATTGTTATAAGTAAAATAAAGCAGGATATAGCATTCCTAATGATGTAACCTCTACAACTTTGTGTGGGTGGTGGTAGATGTAGACTGTGCTAGATACATGTGCTAAATAAATATTAATTGGATAAATGAGTAAAAAAGATTCAAATGAAGGATAATTTCTAAACTATTTATTCTGCTCTTCAAACTTTTCTACAGTGAGATGTTTTGGTTTTATAATGGAACACAATTTTTTTTAAGATGTCATATCTAGAGTGTTCGCTTGCTCATAAACTATATTTTGCAATCTCAACTCACAGTTCTGTGGGTTGAGTGCTATCATTCCCAGTGATAAGTGAGGAACTGGAGACCCCAAAGTTTATTCTTACCTGAAATCATACACATAGTAAGTGGAGTCTGGATCTTCTGAATCCAAGCCCCTTGACCTTACCTGACCTTGACCTGGCATGTTTCAAGCTCTCAGTTGGGAGACATGGAATTGAATTCTAGCCCCTGCCCTGTCCCTGGCTTTCTGGGTGATTTTAGAAGTCACTTTTCTCAGGGTCTCTGTTTCTTGGACTATTGCCCTGATATTTTATAAGATCACTCTGTTTTCCATTCTATCTTTCAATGGAGAGAGGGCTGTGTTAGAAGGATTCATCATCATGTCTAACATCACTCCTCCTAGTCACCCATCTTTTACTTCCCTGCTTTATTTTCTTCTTTTGTCATGTTCATGGGTCATTTTTTCACGTCAACCTTTCAACATTTTTTCATATCATTTTCAGAAAGGATCTTGTGTATTTCTTTGCCTTTTATTGTATGTTTTGCCTTTCTAGATAGAACCTAGCCTATCTTGGCTGACATGCAAACTAAAACTAGTTCCAATGAAAACGATAACTTGTCTTGTATAGCTTGAAGCGATGGTGAAGTAGCTCATAGAAATAGAAACCAGGACCTTAAGAACGACAAACTCAGCACTATGTGAAAACAAACATATTTGCAGGCTTGAGTATGCTCTCTCTCTCTTCCCCATCTCTTTCTCCCTCTCTCCCTCCCTGCCCCATCATTTCTCACCACTGCTTATCTTTGTTTTACTTCATTCTGCACATTGCCTCCATCTGGAATGGAAGAATTCTGCCAGAATCCATAAATTCATTTTGTTCCAATTTAGCATCTCCAGCAGAAAAAGTTTCATTGCCGCCAGTGTCAGATTGCAACCACTGGAGAAGATTCTGATTGGCTTATGTTTGGGTTATGTTTATCTCCCTGAACCAATCACACTAGGAGTAGAGGTGTCAGCTCTATGTGCTAGCAAATGTGCATGTGTTTTTTATTATTGCTGTATGCATATTCAATTTGACATTTCTTCGAAGGAATTTATTTAAACCATTGCCCATTTTGTGGGTGTCAGTTTAGATATAACTAGATAGAAATGATCTGTAAATCTACTTAACTTCCATGGGTAATGAGAGCTACTAATATTTTATTTTTAGAGACCAATGGTTAGTCTTGCTCTCCTTCTGTGTGCTAGGTTGTAATATCCTTGAGTGTGGGTATCATAACTTACTTCTTTTCTGTCACTCCATATTACCCAGCATGGTGTTTTATAGTTAGTAGGTATCCTTCGGATTTCTTATATCAGAATAAATGAGCTACTTAACTAGCTAAATTTTGGGCATCTGCACTCATTAGCCATGTTTTATTTAGTGAAGATATAAAAGTTTTCATGAATCTAAGAGTAGGAAAGACAATATCTTTATTTTTAGTTTAAGAAGTGGTATTCAACAATGCTAGGGAAGAGAAAGAAACCATTGAGCCTTGCAGTAAATCCTCCTTCAGATCACTAATTTGAGTTTCTATTATTGATGTCTCCTTTAACTAATTGATTTTTACTTTGTACCTAGTTTAACAGTATGGATGGAAGCATCTGTGATAGGCAGAAAAAATGCTCTCAGTATTGTTCTTCACTCAGATGAACTGTAGAGCCTATCCTTGACTTTTGAGTTAAAGGAAAGCAAAAGTGCTCGAGTCCATCAGAGACTGTCGCCGGGCAAGTTACTAAAGCTTTAGGGCCTTGTTATCAGACTGTGGTGTGTAGTCTGAGGCTGTTGGCTTCCACTGGAAGGTTTCAGGAATGCAGAACCTGGGGCCTAGACCTATGGGATCTTCAGCGTAACAAAGTTCCCAGGTGATTTGTAAGCACAACAAAGTTTGAATCAGCTTCCTGGTAAGGCTTGTAGGGCCATGGCAGTTGGGTTTCAATATAACTGGTATCTACAGGAAGCCAGGTGTTTACTGTAGAGATGCCAATTATGTGGTACAAATATTGACACCTTCCTACCATGAGCTTGTGACAAATATTGCTAATTGCTCATGGCTCTCTTTCCATCAAGCCTTAGGATGCTTTCCACTCTATAGTCCAGACAGCTTTCATGGAGTCAGAAGTTGGACTAAGAATTAGGATCTATTTATCAATCTTGCCTAAAGACCAAGTCTTTGCTAAATAGTGCCCAACAGGCTTAAAATAGACCAAAGTGAAGTCTAGATTAGTGAATCTTGTGGGTGTGACTTTTGGTTGATTGGCTAAATAATAAAGTCAAGGTCATGAGTTTGACTTTGGGCCAGCCAGGAAATCTCTTAATCCACTCTGTCCACTCCTGCTGTGTCTCCCATCCATCTCTTTGTCTTGCTAACTCATCTTTATTTCACCTCACTAGTCTTCATTTATTCCTTTGAATTAAGCTTCTTCTCTTGAGTTTTCTGGGTGGGGTGCTTGATGAAGGATGATCTTATTTAATTCCATCTCCTAGAGACCCAAACTCTGTTGATGACTTGTGTGGCTATAGTCTTTTTTTCAGCCATTTTGAAGCATCCTCAGACTGAATGTCTCACCAAGATCAGCTGTTTGTCCAGTTGTTACCCCAAATGAGGGAATTGTGAGAATAGGTTAGAATCCACTTCCATTGCCTACTTGCACAGGCTTGACCTTGTCGTAGCTCCGCTATCTGAGTGACTTGTTGGGTTCTGGTCACAATGCCACTACTTCCTGGCATGTAACTTAGGGCAAGTGACCACATCTCTCTTCTTCAGTTTATTCTTCTGTGAAATGATATCATTCTAGAGCCTAATTCCCAGGGTTGTTCTGGAGGTTAATCATTATGAAAAATTTAGCACAGTACCTGGAATATGATGAGAATAGACCACCATTAATGCCTTCTAATTTCATTATTGTCATCATCTTTAAGGTGATTATAATTGTGTTGAAGTAGAGAGTTGACCAGGGTCAACCAAAAACAGTTGCAGGTACAATTTTCTTTTTCAAGTTCTTCTCCTTCTCTCAGGCTTTACCCCTTTATTGTCAGGTAAAATGATTAGTACATGTAAATCATCAGTTTGAGCAAATCCAGGGTATTTTGCTGCAAACTTGTGCCAAGTTTGATATAAACCAACATAGTCTGAATAACTAGTCAACATCCAAATACATCCACATTGATCAGAATTCAGGCTTTATTTTTGTACGATGAAAAGAACTAAAACTTAATTCCAAGCACATGTACGTAGTTAAAATTTGTAGAGGACATTGTTCACAAAACACATTCAATATTTAAAGAAAAAAAAAGACATTTGAAGAACAGAACATAATTAGAATTGTTTGCTTTTAAAAAGCCCATTTCCCTCAAGCCTAAACTTTGTAATTTCATATTAAGCAATGAAGTTATTTTACACAATCAATGTAAATAATTAATTAGCATTTGGCAGAATAGAAAATTGCATAGATGTATAACTCCAAATCAGCATTATATAAATTCAATTTTCAACCTCCAAAGATAGATTGTCCCTAATAGACTTAAATATATGATTATTGAAATATATAAGTATATAAAGTATGTAAAAAAGGAAATTAACATATAAAACATATATAATGTCTCCCTTCAATTTCATAAAGGTAGACAGGATACGAAAGCAAAAAAATAGTAGACTTTTTTTTCCGGTTTTTTTTTCTCATATAATCTGCTGCTTTTGTTCTGCTTTAGAGTTACTCATTCAAATTGGAAATTGTAATGTAATGCTGGGAGTGGAAATTGACCAAATATGGTACTTTTCAGGTCTTGACTAGGAACTTTATCAAAAAAACGTTCTTAAGGTAAAAAGAGTTAATCAGAATTGGAGACAGGCAAGATAGAATCAGAATCTTATGTGGCAGGCAAGATATAACTTGCACCAGGAGATGTAGCAACTCAAAAAGAGGGTTATGGGCTAACAAGTCATATGACCAAGATGGGACAGATTGAGCATCAGACTGAAAAGTTTTGGGATTACATAGTACCTAGAATCTCTGATTTAGAGAATTCTCATCAATCAAATGTATACTAAACTCTCGAGAAGGTTGCTTTTCTGGCTGTTGTATTTTAAACATAGAGCCGGTCTATAAAAGTGAGAGGGACTAGGAAAGAGAGAAGGATTTGATAGTTTGTTTTGCAGAAGCCATTTAAACAGGGTGCACATAGCTGGATCATTATTTTATGATTCTCCTTACCCCATGAAGGGCGAAATCACAATGAAATACGGTAGCAAATTGGCCGACTCTGGTATTCCTAAAAACAATTTGACTTGTGCTTGGGAACCATCAGCCTATAAATCACGACTGATCTTGCTTGGGAGATGCATTTGAGAAGGGTCTACTAAGGGATGATAAACTCGCATATGTATCTCTTGCTGCTACGACAGATCTCGTCACTCCATTTGCCCTGAGCTGACTGAGAGAACAGGACACAGTTTCCCCGCTTGCCACCATTAGGCTGTGCACGGTCCCAGTTGGAGAAGGAGATGGCAACTCCGTTGACATCAACAAACTTGCCTTCTGTGACCATGTCATTGATACCCAGCCAAAAGTCATTAACACCTGGCAGGCTCCTTTTACCATAGTCTCGAAGGGCATTAATTTCATCAGAGTTTCTGGGGATAACCAGGGTCCCTCCCTTGGAAATGCAGTCTTCATTGGCTTCATGGAAGTGCTTCGAGCCTTCTGAAGCAAGGTAGCATTTCTTGTGAACTTTTGCGCCCCGGAGACAGACTGTAAAGATGAGAAATTTGACATATTAAGATGCTTTTTGAATATAATGCATCCAAGACTGGGCCTGGCAAATAGCAGGACATATTTGTGGAATGAATGATGTATGATGATAATGATGTATCAACATTTATTAGAGAGTTAACATTGTATGCGTCTGACACTGCGCGAAGCACTTTACGTAAATGAACTTAATATAAAAATCACAACAATCCCATGAAGTGGGATTTTATTACTGCCATCTTTATATATCAGGGTATTGAGGCTTAAAACAGTTGTTACACGTAACAACTTAGCATATAAAAACGTAATTTACATAGCATGCAAGATCACAACTATCCACACCCAGGTGTGTTCCATCCTCAAAACATGGCCTTTAGCCTCATGCTGCTTTGATATATACATGCTTCATAGTTTGTGTAAATCCGTTATGAGCTGAATTTCCTGGAGACTTTTGGAACTGGAATGGTATTTTATAATTATTAAAAACTAAAGTCTGAGTATGCATATAGAGAGATAGTGGGTTTTTTTATGCAGATAACAGCCCTGGTAATATTGTTTAGGTTATCCAGGATAAACCGAACATAAAGATAGTTTTAGGGGAAAGCATTGGAGAATCAGGCTCTGATGTTTAGTAGCTGTGTAAACCTTGAACATTACTTAGTTGCTCTGTGCTTCAGTGTCCTCAACTGTAAAATGATAATAATCATAATGGCACATAGCTCATACATTGTTAGAGGATTAATGTGTTAGTGTTTATAAAGTATTTATAATGCCTGACTGTGAGTAAAGGGTTAACAAAACTCTTTCCCCTTCTGCATGCATATTTGTCCTCTCTTTAACTTTCTAATTCTGTTCCCCTGGAAACCTGGTAAAGGGAATATGTCGCCAGTGTTACTAGGCAACATTGCTTATGGGAACAATGACCTTGAATTGGTAACATAGGGATGGTCTGGGAATTATACTTTGATGGAAAGCCATAACTTCAGTCTTCCCCGAAAGCTGTAACTCTTGTAACTGGGCAGGTCCCTTGTGGGACACTCAAAGCTCTGTTTTTAGAGTTGCCTACAGAGTACTGGTTCCTGGGCTGTTCCTGAGCCCGCCCAGTGTGACTATCATTTCCTCATCCTTGGGAGCCAAGAAGGGTCGCTCCTGGACAGTAGGCCCTTGGGAGCTCTACTCAAGAAAAGCGGAATGCCAGGTGCTGCCCTCTGTTGGCAAGCTGTAGTTCTAACCGATGTCTTTCCATGCGCATTTGATGTGTCCTGTGACCCTGTGTTTAGTTGAATCACAACAAATCTCCCAGTAAACACTTAGTAAACATCTAATGAATGCTGATTATTTAAGCTAATTAATACTTGCTTCAATTCTGTTTCGTCTATAAGGGAAGAATTATAAGCAGACTTTTAAAATGTATTATCAGGGCCGGCCGAGTGGCGCGATGGTTAAGAACTCGCTTGGGATGCCAGAGGGCCCCGGTTCGGATCCCACATATGAGGGCCAGTGACACTGCCCTCCACAGCTAAGATGCTGAACAACAGCTCAACTTGGAGCTGGGCTGCCATGAGTCGCCGGCGACGGCATGGGCTGCAGTCCCTGTGGCAGTGGGTTGCCATGGGCTACCGTGTGTGGCCAGCAGCCAGCGTGAGCGGCCGTCCAGAAGCCGGTGACTGATCTGCCTCGCCCGGGAAGAGTGCAATGATGGTGCCAACTTGGGCCAGTGAAGCAACGTCCTCCACAACTAGACTGAAGAACAAAAACGACAGCAACTTGTCTGTTCCCAATTCCCCAATTCCCCAGCACTGTTCCCATCCCCCCAATTCCCCAATAAAAATATTTTAAAAAAATGTATTATCAAAATGCCTATTTTTATTTCTATACCACCCATCTATAGAAGAAGGGGGTAAAAATCAAGCTGATTTCCTAAAACAATCGTCTCCTCAGCTTTAAGATCCTTTCTCCTGGACACATCTCCGGCTTATCAATGCCTCTTTTAATAAGACGTCACCTAGAACTTGACATGTACTCCAGTATGGTTTGAATTGCTGGCAAATCACAATTTTTTCTTGTATCTCTTTTGAGACGAAGCATCGATGAGATAGGCCTTACCTGTCTGCAGGGCCTGCATTTCCTTTAGGGCGTTGACTTCTCTCCAGAGCTTTTCAACTTGAGTCTTCAGGTCTCCATTCTTTTCTGGGAATATTTTAAGGTGGGGTGGGGTAAGAGGAATGAAAAGTATATGATGAAAATAAAACAAAATAAAATAAAGCTTTGGGACCCGCAATATAAGGTGAGGGTGGCATTGATGAAATTGAGCCCAGTGTACATGAAACGTAATGCATGAAAATAAGTTGTTCAGGAGGATTCATAAGGGTTTGGTGGGGGGTAATAATACTAAAATATCCTTCTGTGAGATGGGGCTCCCATCGGTCTCCCCGGCCCCACCCCGTGGTACTCTGCCTCCATCAGGCCTCAGATGCATCCTACAACAGGCTGTCTCATCTCAGGACCCTTTCCTTTGGATTCTTTCTGCCTGGAACACTCCTGCCCATCAGCTTATTGAGTTTAAACATCTCCTTTTTTGAGAAAACTTTTCTGATTATCCTCTCTACATTAGCGTCCCTCTGGCTAATCTCTTTCTTCGAACCTTTATTTTTCTTCAGAGCACTGTCTCCAGTCTATAATTATTTTACTTAATTTTATCTGTCTGGTTATCCATGGTATTCCTGATGCTTAACACAATGCTTGGCATATAATAGGTGCTCATAATGTTTGTTGAATGAATAAACAGCATTCCAGAACTGATGGGGACTGTCTTAGGTATTGTCAGCTTATGAGCTCTTCAAAGGCAGGGATAGTAATAACACATAAGAAATAATAAAAATGGAAAGCATTAAAAGCCACCATACACTGTGTGCTAGGAGCTTAATTATTTAAATATTCCTATGAGGTAGACACTATTACTATCCTCATTTCACAGAAGAAGAAATAGAGACCCAGGAGCTGAATTAACCTACAAAAGGTCATCCAGATAGTGAGGTGCAGAATCAGGATTTAACTCTCATTGGCTCCAATTCTGTTCTCTTCCAATCCCTCCCCTCTGCTTCTCTGCACAGCAATTGCCCTTACCTGTTCATTCCCTAACACATGGCCTCAGAGAGAGAAGATGCTTAAAGCTTATTATGAACTGTCCCCAGCTGCCTCTTTGTGGGAATGCCAAATAGAGAACCTGTGCTTTGTCCTGGATTTTTCGGGACAGTCCCAAATCCAAACATGCTCATTCACCATCCCCTTAAACATGTGCTTTGCAAGCTAGGTATTTCTACATTTGAGTTAGGAAAATGCCTTTAGGAATATGCAGGGGTGGCTTCCACCTCTGTTTCACTTGACACTATGTGTCAATTCTCAAAGCACCCAATAGCTCAGCTCAGAAATACAGTAATCCAAAGATTTCCTCAATGGGACCATTCAACCCAGAATAAATAAATATAAGGGTACATTCAAAATGTAAAACCACTGGCTATTAGGGGCCAGATTTGCAAAGACCTGAAGACTTGCTTTCAAGTTACAAGTTGTGAACTTTATAAATGTCATCCCCCAGCCCTCTCAGCTTCCTGCTCCATTCTATTTATTTATTTTTAAAAAGATTTTTATTAAAATATAGCTAACATACAATATTATATTTGTTTCAGGAATACACTATTGTTATTCAGCATTTATAGACCTAAAGAAGTGAGCACCATGATAAGTCCAACAACCATCTGACACTGTACCACACTATCTATATTCCCTATGCATTCCCATTACATCCCCATGACTTATTTGTTTTATACCCAGAGATTTGAACTTTATAGTCCCCTTCACCTTTCCACCCCTTTTTAGTTTTGCAATTATAGTTGACATTCAATATTATTTTACATTAATTTCAGGTGTACAGCATAGTGGTTAGACATTTACATAATTTAAGAAGTGATCTCCCTGACTAGTCTAGTACCCACCTGGCACTGTACATGGTTATTACTATATTATCGACTATATTCCCTGTGCTTTACTTTACATCCCCATGACTATTTTGTACCTATCAATTTATATTTCACCCTGCCCTCAACCTCCCTCCCATCTGTCACCCCCATAAATCTAGTACCTTTGCTTCAATCTGTTTAAATAAGTGGCCTCCCCAAGGAAGCTGTAAACACTGTAATTAACACAAAGACACGTGAATTAATATTAGACCCCTGGAAGATCATTATGGGAGCATTGTCCAGGTGGCTTGGCTTCTGCTTCCATCTTTTATGACAAATGTGGATGTGTTTTGTCTACAGTTAATTCAGGGAACAACTACTTCATTGTAAAAATTATATTTTGTTCTTTACTGCAGCACTTAATTTTTTGAGACTTATGAAGTAAGTACCAGGGAATCTTGCGTTTGGAGCCAAATCACTCAATTGCCGTCCTGAGTTTGTGAAGAAAGGCTCCCTTTCATTTTATTGTGTTCTCTAAAAGTAGGTACAGTATAGAAATGCAAAAATAACTCCCAGAAGAAATGGCCAGTAAACAAGTCAGAAATACCTCAGCCTCATCAACAATCAGAGAAATATAAATTTTTAAAACAAGTGTTTTGTTCTTTTGGTTGGGTTGACAGGGCTTAAACTGATGATTTGATGTTGGGTTGTCAAAGTGTATGGGAATGGGCAGTCTCATACATGGAAGATGAGAGCATAGATGGATGCTGTCATTTGGGGAGAGACCATTGGAAAGTAGGATTAACCTGCAGTTTTGCATCTAGAAATGTATCATAACATCCCAGCATAGGGATCAATATATACTCTTTCAGTAGACACTGTGCTTTGCCTTGTGGTCTTTTCCTGGGTAAGCCGTATGTGGTATGTACTGTCTCATGATGCTGAGCACCAGCAGTGAGCTGCAGCTCCCCGTCAGTCCGCGATCACGAGTGTAAATAACCTTTACAGGGTAGCCAGCGTTTTTTGGATATTGTGTTATGAGCACATGTAAGGTAGGCTAGGCTAAGCGATGATGTTCAGTAGGCTAGGTGTATTAAATGCATTTTCGGCTTGCAATATTTTCACTTTACGATGGATTTATCAGGATGTAACCAGTTCACTGAGGCATGGGATCAGAAAGACATGCAAAGTTACCAATGCACTATACACCTGAAGTTGAAGTAGAATAATATTGAGTGTCGACTATAACTAAATATATAGGTATATATAGTCACAGGGTGTGGAGTACAAAATAGGGAAGCTAGCCGATGGTATTTTAACAGCTATATAAGATGTGAGAGAGGTAGTAGCGTGGGCGGTGGGTTATCACTTTATGAGGGGTTTAAATGTCTAACTGATGTTGCTTTGTACACCTGAAACTAATAAAAAAAGAAAAGTTCACCAAGAAAGAACAGATTAAGTCACGATCTAGCCACACAATGGAATATTATGCAGCTGTTAGAAGGACTGAGGTATACCTTGTGTTGATATCTATCCAAGATTTAATCGATGAAGCAAATTAATTTACCTCACAGCTACTCGTGTAGCCAATTCTTATTTTGTTAACAATATCAATTTTAAAACGTGCATTTAAAAAAACTCTGGGCATATTATCTCCCAACAGTTGATAGTGGGTAATTCTGCGGAGAGGATTGAGAGTGAGAAAAGGGATCTCACGTTAGATTTCATAAAATATTATTTGCAGGTACTTAAAGTATTTTAAGGGTGTGAGATGGTGGGGAAAGAACTGTTCTATAAATGTAGACTTACTCCTTTACCTACTGGAGAGTCTGCTTTTTTTGGACCTAGTGGCAAAAATTAGCAAAAACTGCTTTGGGAGGATGATATTTAAGATGTATACCCAGTCAGTAAAAAAAAAAAGTGAATGTGTGTGTGTGTGTGTGTGTGTGTGTGTGTGTGTGTGTGTGTGTAGGGGCAAGGGGAAGCTCACTAGGACCTAAACTGGAATGATTTTAGAAACAACCACACAGCACACACACACACATATTCCCATAGTCATCTCCCTCCCCACATCCCTGTTGGGTGGTCACCACTTTGCCACTCCCTGACAGTGGTAAAGCAGTGCTGGCAACAAAAATATGCCACCTCATCCAGTACCTCCTCTCTCCTCCTTCCCCTGCCCTCATCTTTAGCAATATACTTTGTCTACACATGAGAAATATTTTAATCTTTCATTAACAGAGGTAACAGGGCACTGTAATGTTTTATAAGGAAAAAAGTGTCCACTTAAGAAACCTTGCATCAGATCAAAGTTGTATAAACAAATTCTCTTAGAAAAGCACACTTTATAATCATTGAAACACAACTCAATGAGACAAGCCCCCTTTCTACCCACCAGCCATTCGTGTTGTGTGAAATTAAGACTAACTTTGTTGGTATTTTGTGTGTGTGTGTGTTTTGTTACTAATCAATGAAGTAAAATTGATAAGGAAATAGTATCCTAATAATTACCTTGAAATATCCTGCCATGAAAATGACTCACAGGATGAGATAAAACATTAGCCTGTGTCTTTCTTGATACTTTTTCCTTTTGCACTGGCTTTAGCATATTGCAAATTAATTGCCATCATCTTTGTTCTTTGCAACATTTATTTTTTTTACCTCCTAGCCTCATTGAAGCCACCCAACCTTTGACATTGAGTGAAGATTCAGTTTTGCATTAAAATAGCTTCAAACTCTATATGACTTTGCATGTTGAAATATTTTTAAGTAAAAGTGAGGCTCACTTTTTCTATGTCATGAAAAGCTTAAATATATAATATAGACTGTCTTTATCATGCAAGGGTTATGAGACTACACCTACGTAATAACCAGTGACAAAACAGAAGTCACATTTACCTATAGCTCTATCCTCTGCGACACACTGAATAAGATTATGTTACTTTAAAATTATCTTTGAATAGAGTTACACAATCCCTACTAGTGAAATGGTGTACTCTACGAGTTAGTATGTCCTGCTGGACCCTTCATTCATAATACCAGATGTCCACATACCTCTGAAGAACACTCTACTTATCTAACCCCACCTGGCAAAGGATATATAATATAGAACTTTTTTTTTTTACATTGCAAGGGCTTTTTTCCCCTGTAAAAAAGAAAAAACTGTATCACATGATTCTTTTAAATATCAAACTCTCCAGGGAATTCATAGTCCCCTGACATGCCACACCCACATGATTGCATGGCGGTGTCACCGGGGACAGTCTCCTGGAGAAGTCTGGAAATGAACACCCCTCCCCACACTGAGCGAGCCTAGCATTTTGCTGGACGAAGAAGCCCCGTTACCTTTCACCCGGCGTTTACTGTGCTTCCTGGCTTTGAATTTGGACGTGTGGCTGGTGGTCTGGTCCAGGAGTAAGGTGATAACCAGGACGTAAATTACAAGTCCACTTTTTGCCATGGCTCTCGGGCAAGTCTGATGTCCACTTAGCTACTTGCCAGCTCCTCTGAAGTAGCTAAGGGACAAGTAGACAGCACAGCCACCTCGTGCCCTGGCATGCCAGGGGCCGGCTTTATAAAAGTGAGCTGGGGAGGCTGGCCGCAATCCTGCTGACGAAATGTTTGAATGACTCTGCTGGCCACAGCATAAGGTGGCCCTTTGTGCTCACTCCTCATGGCAGACTTTTCTTTTTAAATATTTCTGCTGCATTTCCTAGTTGACTTGCCCTTTCAAGGTGTATCAGAGTGCACTAAGGGACAAAGAAGGGCTTTGCCTGCTTTCATGTAAAAAAATTTTTTTAAAGTTCAGGGTGCCTGGGGTCTCCGTGAAGACCCTCAGATTTAATTAAGTCTTTCATTTGGAGCTTTGGAGTTCACTTAATATTCTGGGAAATGTAGTTAATTCAGTTTTCAGGGCAAAAAATGACTCCCAATGACCCAGAAACAGGAAAATTGTGCATATGTGTGTGTGTGTGTGTGTGAGTGTGTGTGTGTGAGTGTGTGTGTGTTTGTGCATGAGTGTGTGTGAGTGTGTGTGTGGGCATGAGTGTGAGTATGTGTGCATGAGTGTGTGTGTGCATGAGTGTGTGTGTGTGCATGTGTGTGTGTATGTGAGTGTGTGTGTGCATGAGTGTGTGTGTGCATGAGTGTGTATGTGAGTGTGTGCGTGCGTGTGTGTTTGTATGTGAGTGTGTATGTGAGTGTGTGTATGTGAGTGTGTGTGTGCATGAGTGTGTGTGTATGTGAGTGTGTGTGTGTGTGTGTGTGCATGAGTGTGTGTGTGTGTTTGTGAGAGAGAGAGAGAGAGGCCACAGAACCACCTGTGTGTCTGTACCCACTTGTGTGTCTACACAGCCCAAGTGGAGCTTGGGAACGGCTTGCTCACAGAGAGTAATGAGACAGCCGAAGTGGATATTCCATGACAAACAAAGTAGAAGCGTTTATTAGGGTTTTGTGGCTCCATCAAGAGTGACATTCTTAGAGTGAACAGAAAATTAAGACAGTTAATTATTTCCATAAGAACTCATATAAAATATCAGCTCTAGTTTTCTTATGGAGGACCCCCACCACCCACTCCATTTTTTTCTCTGAAGCTACTCCAAACACTTAAATGAGACATTCAAGTGACATGTAAAAATCACAGAGAAATAGAATGGAAGACTTAGTGGAATTATTCTTGCCTTAACAATGGGCTTTAACCACAAGTACTGGGAGCCAGATAGGCTTTTGTATCAAAAGCGAGTGACTTCCACACAGGTGTGACCAAGGCGGAGTAAGCTGGACCTCGGGGAAGGAACTCTATGGACCGTCTCCATCATCCACAGTGCTACCTGGATGACCAGGTGCAGATGGAGGGCAGGGCCTGCAGATTTTGAAAGGACTGAAGGACCAAACGCATTTCATCTTTTTTTTTTTTTTTTAAATTGAGACACTACAGGAATCAATCAAGGAGTGATTGATTCCTTGTGAATCTTAGTGAGGAAAACCGCAGCCCACTCCATCTTCATGTTCTCCCTGCTGAAGCCACTTTGTAACCTACCCACATATTTACACCCCAGTAAGTCCACTGATGTAGGGGAGTCTGACATAATTTAGCAATGTAAGTGTGACATTAAGAAAGAAAAAGATTTTACTTGTAGCACAAACTCCTTGTACTGGTTGGGTGGATCTGTGAGGAGGCATTTGAGAGGGTTGTGGAGACAAGCTGAGCTGGGTTCACATTCTACCTCCCCCCATTTATCAGCAGTGTGACCTTGGGCAGTTCTCTTCTTATCTTAATAACGGGGCTTGGAATGCTTACTTTATAGGGCTGTTGGGAAGATTAAATGAGATAATGGTTATTAGCCCTTAGCACAATACCCAGGGCTTAATAATAATAATGATGATGATAATGACAACAGTAATATCTGTAATGTCCTTATCATTATAATTGTATGTGGAATTTATGCAATGCCAGATCTTTGTAGTCTTCACAGCCAGCTTATGGATGAGTATTCTCTCAATTTTATAAACTGAGCCTCAGAAAAGTTAAGTGGATTTGTTCAACATCACTCAGGTTCCAAGGGTATGAGCAGAAATTAAAATCTAGTTTTGATTAACCCCCAAAGACCTCTTTTTTGACCTGAGCTGTGAAAAATATGCTTTGATTTGAATAGGGCAAAGGATCGATGTTTTATGATTGATCTTACAATTGATCAAAAATGCTTTCTGCCAGCTTCTCAAATCCTTTACTCCGAGAAAAGATTCCAAGTTACAGAGTGCTGGTAGAAAGCCAATGATTTCTCTTGGACCTTTGATCTGTGCTGTGTTCAAACTGGACTTATAAGAATCAGGTGTCTTTTTTTCTTCAAAATAAATCTACATTGTTTTCAAACTCTTTTTCCTTTCCAGGAAAGCTTCCGATGCTTTTTTGATTTGTTTTCTTTCTTTTAGTCAGATCTTAAAGCCCATGCTTTTTTTTTTTTTCAAGTTAATAGACTTTACTTTTTAGAGTAGTTTTAGATTTACAGAAAAATTGAGTAGAAAGTAGACAGGGCTCTCTTATGATCCCTCTCTTTGTCCTGCGCCCCTTCCACTTTCTCTTAATATTAGTATCTTGCATTTATATATATTTATATATATATAATATATAATATATATATTATATATATAAATATATTATATATATTAGGTATATTTGTTATAACTGGTGAATGAATATTGATATTATTAACTAAAGTCTATAATTTACATTAGGGTTCACTCTTTGTGTTGTACAGCTCTGCGAGTTTGAATGAATGAATGAATGAATGAATGAACAGCTCTGAGTTTTGTTTGAATGAATGAATGAATCCATGAATAAATGTGTAATATCACGTATCCAGATTATAGTAGCTTACAGAATAGTTTCATTGAAACCCACACTTTTTATTCTAATAAAATACCTGAGAATTCACCTCTTCCTCCCGTCCATTGCCTGGCTCTCTTCAGATTCTCTCCTGGCTGCTCTAATCTCTTATACTCTGTCACTAGATGATTTTATTGCTTCTCATGGCTTCAAATTCTGTCTGGGACTTTCCCACACTTGCCTCCCAGTTTGGATCTCCATCAGACCCATATTTCCCATTGCCCACGGGACACGTCCAGCTGTATGTCTCAGAGACATTTCAAACTCGTGATGGTCAAAATCGATTTTGGATTCCTCCCCCATTAATGCCCCATGAATTTGAAAAAGATCCGTTCCTACTGAGTCGTCCCTGTCCCAGTTAATGTCCCCATCACCCACTCAGTGGTCCAAATCCAAAACCTGCGAGTCATCTTTGAGCCCCAATGCCTTTACCCTCAGTGGCCCTTCTCATGACCTTGTCAACAGCTAGTACTGTGGTTTCTATCTCCACATACATTGCTCCTCTCTGATGCCATCATCCCATCCTAAGCTACCAAGAGCTCCTATCCTAATCTGTCTCATCCCAGCTCCTCCCCAACTCAAATAAGTGCTCCACACATCACGAGCGTGATGGTCACACTCCTACTTAAAACCCACCAAATCTTTCCCATTGTACTTAAAATGAAGCCCAGACATTTTATCATGGTTTCTGAGGCCCTCTTATCTGGTAAGAACTTACCTGGTTTTTCCTGGTGTCTTTCTCCAGTTGCAGAGAACGTTTGTCAACTTTGAGTCACATTTAAGGCTCTCCTCCCACCCCACTATGCCTTTCCACATGCTTTTTCTCTATCGGTTTACCATGCCCCTTCGCTTGCACACTCTTGGTGTATGTCCAAATTAATACATTTTGTATATGACTGACTCCTTCTTGTCCTCTAGGTCTCAACTCAAATATCACCTTCTCAGACACACCTTCTCTACCTGCACAATCCGTAAAGGTCCTACTTTGTTTCCTCTATCAAAGTACCCTACCTCCTTGGTTGCACTTATCACAATTTGGTACTCGTTTAAAAATTTGTTTACTCAATTGATTCCTTGCTGGATGTCAGACTCTCTGGCTAGGATGTAAGCTTCCAGAGAGGACGGGCTGTGTCAGGTTACCTCAACTCCACAGGTAGCACAGCACTTGGCACATAGCATTTGTATTAATGTGTGGCAGGACAGTTTTGCTTTTGCTTCCCTCCCTTCACACCACCACTCTGAGGCCCCAGAAAAAAGCGCTTGACCAAGGAAACAAAACCCCAACTCATGGCAGAGCATAGAGACCAGGACTCATTAGGTGTAATAACACTTGGAGTCATGCTAAGAAACCATCATTCTTATCCGTAGGCAAGCTCTGATTGTCTTGTAGGTGCTTGGCCCTGAGGCCAGACAGGATGGGCACTTTCCTTTAACTTCTTTTCCTCCTTATAGAGATTCCAAGTCCAGTTCATCCTCCTTAAGAGAAAGCCAGTGGAAACTAAATGGCTGCAGGACTGGCTAGGACAGGGGTCGGCAAACTTTTGAGATGGAAGAGCCGACCCTGTCCCTCACAACAATTTAAAAATTATTCGGGAGCCCTAAAACATAAAATCACCATTATGTGAATAATATCCTTTAAAATGTTTACAAATGAAACTATGATAGTTTTATTTTCATTTTCAATTTTACTTCAGAGCCACATGTATGTATGTACCCAAAGAGCCGCATGTGGCTGGCGAGCCACAGTTTGCCCACCCTTGGGCTAGAAGAAAAGGAGACAGGATGGGAGTCAGGGGTGAGAGTTGGATCTGAGACCTTTCTCAAGATAAGGATTTTTGTCCCTGCCCCAAATGCCATTTGACACAGACATGGCCTCCCCATCAGACACGGCCTCCCCGCTTTGGGTGATACCCCACCCCCAAAACCTCAACACGTATAGCAGGCCAAGAATTGGAGTGATGGGGGAAAAACATCACATCAAGAGCCACACACACACATCAAAGATAATGGGGGTGGGTGGCCCTTTCCCCACTTTGTCCTTGGGGGAGGCAGACCTCACCCAGTTTTCTTGGAGGCTGAAC